CTTATTTGAGTCTGTAAGAAGCTGCTTCTTTGAATAGTCTCTAGAAAATCATTTGTATTCTTAGAATCCCAGACATATATTACTTGCTTTTATTAGGAGAAGATCTAGAGATTAGCCAAATTCTCCTGTCAGAGGTTCATGCGGACTTTCATTTGTGCCTGTTGTTTTAATTTTGCAAATAGGTACTAGCTTTTAAAATTGGCATATTCACCTTAGAATTATTCAGCTTGCTGAAACATTCACACTTTTTTTGACATGTACCTGAGTTTACCTACTTTTTGATGTATCAGGTAGTTTGTTCTTGTTCTACAGTTTCAGTGCATTTACATTAGTAGCATCATAAGCATTTTCATGAACTACTTGCTCTCTGAGACTCTGTATTTGCCCCAGATTTCATTTCAAAGCTTTTCCCCTGTGAGGTAAAGATTTTATTATTCATATCAAGGAAACCCTTTTTCTGCCTGCTAAAATGAAAAATGCTAACTTACTTTATTCAAGTTCCTCCAGTAGCTAGTACCTGCAAAAACAAAAACAAAACAAAAAACAAAAAGAAACAAAAAACCCCAACCTTGGATGGGTTATAAATGTTTTATTTGTATAATAATAGACTATTTTAAGGCATGATGCAGTGCTTTATGCTTTTGAATTTTCCATAAGAGTTGCGTGAATGATTTTTTTGAGCTCAGTTCCATGTTAAGAAAGAAAAGAAAGCAATAGAAGTAAAAGACTAAAGTTATCTCTAAAAGGTAAAGAGCTGGCAAGAACAGCTGTGTGCACTCTCTTATAACAAAAGACCATTCCAGGTGGTACCAAAAGCCAAAGGAGGAAATCTGCCTTAGGTACATTCTGTAGGAAATCTGCCTTAGGTACAATTTTTTTTATTACTAATGTCTTTAGTATGATTGACGAAAGCATCTCTGCAAACCAAGATTATGTATGTTGGATTTATCAGATGCAAAACAATATTATTAACAAAGTCACATAATCGGTACACTCCTCTTAGTAAGAAATGGCTTTCCCTGTCCGCCTCTAAATGCTGTTGTAGAATCACAGTAGTGCTTTTGTACATCTTTGCTGGACTACATGGGTAGAAGACTGCCCTGCTAGATATATAAAGGTGTAGTGTCCCAATCATAATCTTCCTTATGTTACATGTTCCTAAATTCTGCTTCCCTCTGATCTTTATTAATTATACTGTATTGATTTCCTGATGGAATATTCATTTTATGGCCAAACCTAAATACCCTCCTCATTTTACCCTTCACTCCTTGCACTGAATATCACAGCTTTCTTTCTTGTTGTAGTGCTGTTTACAAGAGGTCAAGGCCAAGCAGCTGCATGCTGTGGATATGTGCAGGTAATTTCTGCTCAGCCTTTGTTCTTTGACCCACATTGCAATGAGACTGATGCTGCAGAGGGACAGAAAAGAAGCTCTCCCTATGCATTTCTTCTACCATGCTACATATTTCTGAACCGATTGCATTTCTGGGTTCACTACTTTTGCAAGGATGCCAGCTTGATACACTAAGCAAACAAGCAAGGAAATAAATGGATACCAAACAAACCTATGTTATGTTTCAATTAGGCAAGACTTTGTATTACATTATACATTTTTTTGTATCCTCTCAACAACCTCTACAGAGATCTGCAATTGATCCCTTGAGGGCTCCTGGGTAAAAACTTTTCCATTCTGTAGAAAGATTGTTTCTGAGCAGCATCTCCAGAGCAAATCATGTCTGAGCTACTAGACTGTAAACAACAGCTGAGGTCCCAGAGGGTCTAGAATGACCTGAATAAGGTTCACATTGAAGATAGTGACAACAGTACAATCATTTCAGAGTGCATGCTCATGTGTGTATAATATCACCTGTGAATATTTTAAATTTAATATTGGTTCAGGTGAAAGTGCAACAATTGATTCTTAAGATCCTGGCAGTAGTCTAGGATCTACATGATGAAATTGTGTTTGTCATTCATAGTAGTCTGTAAATGAATTTAGCTACTGTGTCTTGCTGTGTTCATATCAGTCATTAGAAGACCCTTCTTCATACGCTTTGCTTTAGTGTAAAAAAAGAAGTAATCTTTATTTGTAGCTGGGTGACACCCACACTTTCACAAGTGCCCTCTGCTTGTATGTGTGTCTGCACTTTTAGTCTTCTGTAAACTGGAAGTGTCTCAAGCAGGTTTACTATGACTCAGCCCTCCAGCTAAGTCTCTCACAGACAGTATGTGAAAGAAAACCAATTTCTTCTGGATTATACCATCCACCAGGGCCTATCCAAGTATCTGGGTATTTCTCTGCCTTTAAATAGTCCTGGCCCTGATATGGGGTTGTACCCCCAAGGCTTCCTCCCTTGTGCCATGGCTCTAGCCTTTTCTGGGCCCAGCTGTCCAGCTAAGCCAATAAAATATCCGATCCCTTTTGGAGGAAGAGGGCAGTCTGAGTCCTGAAGGCTGACCCTTCACCAGGTCTCTAGCCCCTTTCCTGATCTTCTGTGTATTTCCTTTCCTTGGCACTTCTCTAGTGGCTAATGGGGTGGACCCTGGCCTGCCCACGATTAGGGGGTCGCAGTCCAGGAACCCTATGCCTAGCAGCTGCCTGCTGCATCCCTTTAACTAAGCTGTGCTTCTATTCCCTAGGTCACTTCCCCACAGCCTCAGCACCTTCTTGATCACTTCACCCCTCACCCTTACTATAGAGCTGAAGTCTTTAACTCACAGTGAAAGGATCTCTCTTGTTCCACATGTCCTACCAGCAACTGAGCTCTCCGTGGTTCTGTCACTCCTTCAGCCAGCCTGGAACGCAGTCTTCACTCTTTCAGCTCCAGACAGCAATCTCTGTAACAGACATACTTAGTGGTCTGCTTTTGCCCCTTCTACAGGGTAACGGGACAAAAAGCCATTGTCATCAGTTTAAAAATACAACATTTTAAGAATTGTTTTTAAGAGAGATAACTTTCCCTCTGAATTTCCCAGGTAAACCTTTCTCTCTGTTTGATAATCTGCTATCACCCAATGAGCTCTGAAATACATTTTGGATGTTTACACTTTCATTTTAGAATATATTGACCCAAATCCTATAGTCTCCTATGCAAATCTTCGATAGGAGTCAACATCTTTCCCCTACCCCCTGAATAACTTAGAACAAAGACTGTAGATTTCAAACTTCAGCGGTGGCAAAAACTGACACTGTTCTGTTTGCCTTTAGTGAGAGTTACCCACATAAGCCAGGGATGAATTTGGTCTACTTAGGTGTATATCACAATTAAAGGGCCATTCCCTGAGAGGTATTGGTTATGTGAATTCCTGGCTGTTATAGGTGCTCATCATCTCTAAGGCTGTGTCTATACTGCAGAGTTTTTGTGCAAAAACTCGCAGAGCATCCACACTACAAGCACATTTTTCCACAAGAAAAATTACAGTAGATCGTCAGAAGACAGGGTTTTGCACAAGAGTTTATTCCTCTTTCTAGAAGAAATACACCTTTTTGCGCAAGAGATCTTGTACAAAAAGGCATGTGTGGATGGACAACAGGGGTTTCTTGCTCAAGAAACCCCTATCGAAAAAAGCACAGGTGCTCTGATGGACATTCTGCAAAAAGTTCTTATGGAAGAAGCCTGCAATGTAGACGTAGTCTCTGACTTGAGTCAGTAAATTCAAAATTTTCCAATGTACCTAAACGAGTTAAGAACCTAAGCCCCATTTCTAAAAATGCAACTGTTGTTTTTTCTTATAACAGGGTTAATTGATACCAGTAAGAAATTAACCAACTAAAAATGATATGATAAAGGGTTTATTAAGGATCACTTATTTTTTTAAGTACACAATATATAAATCTCATAACTGAATGTATTTTACACGTCATCGTCATACACTGCTCTTTTTATTGGAGTGTAAGTTCTCTGGGAAGAAACAGTGCAAAGTGGTTGTTACAAGAATATAAATAGCATGCAGTTCCCCCCCTTTAGTCATAGCCCAGACCTTTAACAAATAAAAATGAAAAAGAAATGAAATTTTTGTCATTCCTTTGTGACAAGCGAAAATGGTATAATTCTGAATTAATAATCTTATCAAATTAGATCCACTTCAGTCCATCTGCAACACAGATGTGAAAGACACAGAAAAGTAAAAATAATATGGCTTTTCATGTAGATTTTTAGTTTTGTTTTACTATTGATCTCTGACCTTGAACCGTAGAACCTCAAGCTGCATTCCAGTCATATGTCAGTAGCTGATAACTAATGCTGAAATGTAATGTCTAAATGATGGGGTCAAAGCAAATTGAGTAATAAAACTGCATCATTCAGCAAAGGGATACTTCTGTACTCCATGGTGCAATGCTTTTGTCTGAAGCCAATAATTTGAAAGAATAAATAGTTAACTCCTTAATTATGTTTTTGAATGACTGTTGAGAAAATAACTTTTGCCTGATGCCTTGAACAACCAAACATCCCCTCAACAAACTGTAAGACCTGTAGGCACATTTCTCTTCACTTCTTCCCGAAGTGAAAAGCAGTAGAATAATCTCTGGCTTGTCATGCCGCTTTTGGGAAGATTGCCCTCATAGGCAATTACCATTCACTACATGGACAGTTTCTGGAAAGTGACACCTCAACATATTTTCTCAGAGAAAGACTTTTAAAACCTTTTGTGTTCTTTCAATTTCCAGGCATCTACCTTCAGCAAAACAAGGTTTGCAACTTATTAGAAACTAGAGACAGGATTCTTTCATGAGGACTCCATGTTTCTCAAACTAAACACTCTTTACTGAGAAAACTATTTAAAAAGATGCTGCAACTGCAGCTAACATTCCAGCCATCTGCAAATAGACTAACTTCTTGGTGCCTCCTTGAAACTTTGTCCTCTGCAGCACGGGCAGATGACAGTTTTGCGGGGCCCCGGGCAGCGTAATTCCACGCCCCCCCCCCTTTGCCACGGCGCACGTACAGTGATGCCATGCGCATGCGCAGCAGCGCCACGGCGTATGCGCGGAGCTTTCTGAAGCGCGGGGCCCGGGGCGGCCGCCCCGTTCGCCCTGCCCTGCCCTATGTCCACCCCTGCTCTGCAGGTTCTTTACAGGATGCTACATCTCTCCTTTTTAACAACTGTTCTCTTTGCTGACTCACTTTGGCCAGAGGTTAGTAGTACGTTGGCATAGGGATCCTTGATGCCAAATTCCTCACTTCCTGGGGAGTTCTTGACCTCTGCTTCACACTGCCCTAAGCCCTGTTCTCATCTCACCTCTTCCCACTGCTGCTGCCCTGCCCCCCTCCCTGGCCTCCTCCTGCCTCAACTCTTTTCTCTTACCACTCGGTGTCTCCTATATGCTGCTGAACAACTGATCACAGTGGGAAGGAAGTCCTGGAAGGGAGAGGAAAAAGCTGATTGCAGGGCAGCTGGGAGGCACTGGGGGGAGTGGGAGGCACTAATCATGAGGCCACCGGAGGGTGCTGAGAGCCCACTATTTTTTCCCTAGGTGGTCCAGCCCTAGAGCACCCTTGGAGTCAATGCCTGTGATAGGGATATGACCTTTTCCAGCAATGTGTTATAGCCTGTTGGACCTGATAGTCTGTCAGGTTTGCGAACAAGTCTTCCATTTCTTGACTCTGCTGTCATTGTTGGTGGGGGGAGGAGGGGCGTGTTTGTATCCTGTTGGTCAGTGCCCTGTTGATCCTATGTGTTGCTCATATATAGTATTTCTTCAAACTCTCCTCCATCAAGCCAGCTGATGGACATGGTCTAACCTTTGGACCCATTTTTTGGGTGCCTATTGCCTGCCACTACTCTGCAGCTGCCTTCAATTTGGTCCCCACACGTTTGTCCTGCGTTTGTACCTTATTTTGAGCCTCGTATAACTCATGTTCCACTGTTGCTTGGACTTTTCCCATTGCTTTTTGTGGATATTTGATGGTTGGACCCAGGCTTGCTCACCTATGTGTATTGACTTTAGGCCTTTGGCTTTCTTGTGGTAGTGGGGTGCCTTGGCAGTCTCATAACGAGTTCTGTGTCCTGTCCATTATTTTTCCTTTGGGCTGCAGCAGACTACCCTTTGTGGATAGCAGAATCTTGGTGTTCTCTGCCCATTAGGCCCTGTCCTGGCCTAGTAATCTAGTCCCCGAGGGGTTTATTGCAATGATACAATGAGGACTCCATGTTTCTCAAACTAAACACTCTTTATTGAGAAAACTATTTGAAGAGAGACACTGCAACTACAGTTAATATCCCAACCACGTGCATATAGACTATTGTCTAACTATTCCTTCTTGTCTATTTTGCCTTTGCCAGTAAAGCTGTCTTTGTTGTCTTCACTACTAACTCTACCTTCCCATTGTTTTCTGGTTTGTCAGCAGCAGATGTCTTGTGCTTAAATTCTCATTTTTGGCGCTGGAACATTTACATTCTGATGCAGTGTCCATTGTCTAAGCATAGTGTGTCAAGTATGCCATAACTTGCAAAATGTGCTTATGGTTTCTTGATTGCAGTTCTTGCCTGAGTGCACTCCAGATGGTCTATATTCCAGAAAGTGGAGGGGTAATCTACTGTGACCATGTAGTTTCTGACATCAGAATTAAGAAGTCTGTTCTGACCTTTTCCCAGGGTTGGGTTGGGATTTCATCAGGCTGTAGAGTCTCCTTCTGTTATTCACGACTACAACCTGCACACCTTGCAGTTTTCAGTGTAACATCTCATAACTATGCATTTGTGTCTGGTCAATAGATACATTCACTGGCTCAATTCAAAATTGCCTCTGTCCCTACATGTGAAGTGTATATCCCTCTCATAATGTCAACATTTAAATCTGCTGGGATTACTTCTCTATCCCTTTTAAACAAAATCTGCTCTTGCATACATATGTTTCAGAGGGGTAGCCATGTTAATCTGTAACTGAAAAAAACTTAAAATATAACAAATAGTCTTGCAAAACCTTAGAGACTAACAAGACATGTAGATAGTATCATGAGCTTTCATGGGCACAAGCCACTTCTTCAGATAAATGGAGTTAAGGGGTACAGTTTCCAAATAAGTAGCAGGGAATGAGAGGAGATAGGGGGGTGCGGGGAAGGTGTGAAGAGAAGAAGAAAGAAGGGGGGGAAAAAGTAAAATATTGTCAATTAGAGTGTCCATGCTCAATGAAGCTGATTGAGTGGGTACTAAGTGCTCTTAAGTGCCTGGTATTTGGTTTTTTATGTAATTAGGATGTGGAATGTAGCAGATTACCTTTATTTTAATTTTATCATCTCTATTCCCCATAATCAACCCTGTATTGACTCTGTTCTTGCTTCCACACTTGTCCCTCTTTTTTTAGCTTAAAATCCAGCATTCCTGGTAGTCTATCCTGCCTGTTTTATTTGTTTTAGGAAGTTTGTTTTGTTTTCCTGTTAGTCATAATCTTCCTTGCTATGTTTCTCATTCAATTGCCTACTGCTACCATGTTCCATGTACCACGTGCTGGCTAATAATATGACAGAACACCCCGTCTCTAAAATTATTTACAGAGATGTTGCAGCTACAGCTATCGTTCAAGCTGTGTGTGCAAACTACTCCTAACTCGTCCCTTCTGCAACTTGTGCTGCTTTTTTCATGTTCAAAGCTTGTTGCTTTTAAGGTAACAAAGCTTTCTACATTGTCTTTCAACTACATGCTTGTTTTTTTTATGTGGGAAGCTATTTTGCCACCTTATACATGGATCCCATTGCTTTTTTTGAGATTGCAGGTATCTAATAACAATTCCACTATGCCTAGTATATAATTAAGTACCTCAAATATACAGAAGCTCGCTAATCAGGTCACATACAGTATTCATAAAATTGCATAGCAGAATATTTGTAATATTATTCCATATCAGCTCCATGTCTATCAGCTTCCCTTTCAGGGGCAAGAGTGCTGTGCTGTCCTTTTAGATGACATGTAGAATTGAGGCCTTTGTCACTAATAGTCATGAAACAGTCTGCTGTGTAGGTCTTAGTCTGACCAATACTAAGTTGAGTGAGTACTTTTGGTCACATAAAATTCCTCCTGTAGATTTCATTTGGGACATATTCTTCTCTTTCCTTCTTAAAAACTATGTTGTAATGAAGCTGATATAATGACTGCAGCATTCTATTTGAGCCTGACTGCTTTTCAGTAGTGGATAAATGACCTTGACTGTCTCTGTACATGGTTTGTGACACTCATGGCAACTGACAGGATTGTTGAGCCCCTGGGCAATGTGTGTGAGGGGGGAGGAGGAGGGAGTGGTGCCTCCGGCAGAAGGGGCCAGCCCTGATCACTGCTTGAACCAGGTGGTGCCCCATTTCCCCATTGGCTCCCTGTGGGGGGCTCTGGAGTGTACTGCCTGGCACTCTAGCAGCGATTGTAAAATGCCTGGGGCTCTGGCCACTGGTGTTACTGTAGCGGCAGCCAGAGCTCTGGGCCCAGGACTGCCCTCTTTACTGTCCTCTGTTGGTGGGCCTGGGGATTCTTATATAAAGAATGTATTTCTTCATGATCTAATTATAATTTTGGACTTATTCATAGTGGGACACATTCATGGGTAAATTTACTGCACTGTGAACGTATTTTAGAGCAGGGGTGGCCAACCAGTTAGAGACTAAGAGCCAAAATAGCTGTGGATAGAAGTCAAAGAGCCATTTGTTATATATTTATTTGTATCTATCTGTCAATAGATAGATATAGTACACAAAATGTAGTGATAAAAATGACATTACAGGACATTTTGAACAAAAAACAATAACAAAGTCTTTAGTCACTTTAAAAATTTACAGCTAGTCCAAAGATCTTCATCAAACATCAAATTAAAAAAAAAACCACACTTTGAAAATACAGTAATATTCTCACATTAAAAATGAGCATCCCTGCCATGTATTTTAAATTTAATACTACTGCCCTATTATGTCCTGTGATTTTTTAAAAATTAAACTGATCTGAGAAGTAAATTAGCACAATTTGAAGTGCCTGTTTCATTCCAGCTTGTTGATCTCTGGTATGTTTTCCTTATTTCTTTTATGTATGAAGATTATAGTTTTTTATCGTTCTAAAAAGTCAGGTCTGTCCCAGACTGCAAATATGACAGGTTCAAAAACAATAAGAGAGAGACTTGTATCTCAGAATAATTGCTTCAGCCTAGCAAGCAATAGCCTTTGAATTTTCTTTAAAGAAACACTGTGTAAACCAGGTACACGCTGATTCTTTTTTTGCCCAGGAATTTAAATATGACATCTGTGTTGGCTGCCTTGTTCTGCATCCATGAAGACTTTAAGGTGCTTCGGCCCTCCCTCCACACACTAACCAAATGCCCTCCTCCTCCCCCAGAGCCAGGCACCCCCAGTCTCCCTGCTCTAATCCAATGCACCACCCCTCCTCCAGAGCCAGGCACTCCCAGCCCCCAGCGTTAACCCAATCCCCTTCTCCTCCCCCAGAGCCAGGAACCCCTAGTTCCCCCAACCCAATGCCTGGGTCTCACTGAAGCCACCGCTGCAGCCATGTACTTCTCCCTCCAGGCACTGGGGCACTTGCGCAGAGTAGCCATGAGTAGTCCGGGTGCATGGCTCTGAACTAGCAAAAGCTGCATTTCTTTGAGCAAAAAGCCGCATGGGGCTCAAGAGCCGCAGGTTGGCCACACTGCTGTAGAATATAGGCTAAGGGGGTTTCAATTTCTTCTTACTGGATCACAACTTAATAGAGTTTTTCTCTTTGGCACCTCTCAGTCCCTTCTTTTCCCTTCATGACGATGTTGTCCACACAGAGCTCACACAGCATCCTTCTAGTAACCACAATTAGGGATGTCACCAGTAACTGGCAGCCTGGCCAGGCTAGAGCAGCCCACTATCCGCTGGATCCTGTTTAAGCAATTAACTGGGTAAACATAATGTTTAACCTGTGAACTGATTAAAGGTGATTTTTACATCCCTAACCACAATTGACTGTATAGAGAAGTCATATTTTTGACATATATTTAACGTTGACATATTTTTCTTTTTATGATGAAGCAATCTAAATCACTAGCAACTTCTCTACAGCTTTGAACTACTAACGAAAGCTTTTTGACTACCACTTGTGTGATGATGGACTCTTTGCAATGTTGATTTATGTGCCTTGTTCGTTTAAAATCCCAAGATATCTTATACTCCCAATGAG